CGCTTCTGTGTCGATTATCGACAACTTAATAGAGTAACAAAGAAAGACGCTTATCCACTTCCATTTATTTCGTCAATATTGGACAAATTACGGGGAGCTAAATATTTGAGTTCAATTGATATAAAGTCGGCCTATTGGCAAGTTCCAATCGCGCCAGAATCTCGAGATTACACTGCTTTTACAATCCCAGGTCGTGGGCTTTACCATTTTAAAAGAATGCCATTCGGGCTATGTAATGCGCCGGCTACGTTCGAACGTCTTATTGACAAGGTTTTAGGTCCTGAGCTAGAGCCTCAAGTTTTCTATTACTTAGATGACGTAATCATCGTTTCCTCTTCATTTGAAGATCATATGAAGACCTTGAAAGAGGTTTTTGAACGTTTTAAGAAAGCAGGGCTGACAGTCTCAAAATCGAAGTGTTTCTTTTGCCGTCCCGAACTGCGATACTAAGGATACGTCGTTGATAGCCGGGGTCTCCATGTGGATCCTGACAAAGTATCGTCAATCCTAAATATTCCGCCTCCTAAAAATGTTACCGAGGTTCGTCGCGTGCTAGGTGTTGCTTCCTGGTACAGGAGATTCATAGCGAATTTTTCTACTTTAGTTGCGCCCATGACCGCGCTACTTTCGAAAAACAAGAAGTGGTGCTGGTCCGAAGATTGCCAAATTTCATTTCAGGGTATCAAAAATGCTTTGGCTTCTGCTCCCGTACTAACGTGTCCAGATTTCAGTCGGCCATTTCAAGTACAAACCGATGCATCCGCGTATGGCATAGGTGGAGTTCTTTCCCAAATTTTTGACGATGGCGAACATGTCATTTGCTATGTTAGTCGATCCCTAACTCGACAAGAGCGCAATTATAGCACAGTAGAACGAGAATGTCTTGCTGTCCTGTACTCGGTAGAGAAGTTACGTCCTTACCTAGAAGGTTACGAATTTTCCGTCATTACAGACCACCACAGTTTGGTATGGCTCCATAACTTACGAGAGCCTAAGGGGCGTATTGCCCGCTGGTTACTCCGTCTCCAACAATTTAACTTTAAAATATTTCATCGTAAAGGCAAAGACAACGTCGTACCCGACGCGTTGTCCAGAGCAGTTCCAGAAATCAATTCTGTGTCTGTCCATATTTCGACAATTTCATCTTCAGATAAATGGTACCTTCGCACGGTTCAACAAGTTAGAGAGAGTCCTTTAAAGTTTCCTCAATGGCGCCTAGTTAATGAAAGATTATTTAAGTATGTTTCTTGTCCCTATCCTGGTCTACGAGACAAAACAGATTATTGGAAGGAGGTAGTACCGAAAGAAAAGCGGAAGAAAATTATTGGTGACAATCATGACAAAACAATAGCCTGTCATGCCGGTGTTTTTAAGACCTTTGAACGGATAAAGGAGCGTTACTATTGGCCAAAAATGCGAGCTGATATAGCCGCTTACGTCCGGAAATGTCAGATTTGTAATCGTCATAAACCGGAGTTACAACGTCCCGCTGGTTACATGGGGAAGCACCCTGAACCAACTACTCCATGGCAGATGATCTCGGTAGATCTCGTCGGACCATTGCCTCGTTCAAAAGAGGGGTACCGATTCATTTATGTTGCAACCGACACTTTTAGCAAATTTTCTTTATTCTTCCCTTTGAGGACCGCGACTGCTGCTGCTGTTACGCGTATAACTGAAGAACACATTTTTCTGATGTTCAGTTGCCCTCAAATTTTGATCTGTGACAATGGAGTGCAGTTTCAATCCAATGTATTCAAGAAGTTATGCGAAGATTATCATGTTCATATTAGATTCACGCCTCTGTACCATCCGCAAGCAAATCCCGTAGAAAGAGTCAACCGAGTTCTTAAAGCAATGCTTTCGTGTTATGTGGAGGAGAACCATAGAGTATGGGCTGAGTTATTGCCAAAGGTAGGATGTGCGATCCGCACTTCAGTTCACGAGGCCACGGGCCTAACACCATTCTTTATAAATTTCGGACGCGAGCACAAACCCAGTGGTAATAACTACGAACATCCTCTTGCTAATGTAGATAGCGTTCCTACTCCCAGAAGAGCGGTAGAAGAATTCAAAAACATTTATCGTGATGTCCGGAAACGTCTTGACGACGCACACTCAAAGTCCAAGCGGCGTTATAATCTGAGGCGAAGACCGGTTAATTATTCGGTTGGTGATTCTGTCTATGTGAGGAATCATGTTCTCTCCGACGCTACTAATCATTTCACTGCTAAATTCGCACCAAATTATAAAGGCCCTTTCACCATTAGAAAGAAGCTCTCTCCCGTAACATATGAGGTGGTGGATGGCAATGATAAGTCTAGGGGTATTTGGCATGTTCAAGATATTAAGGCTCGTCCGCCTGATCCAGGTTCTGAGGATGAGGACTTTCCTGATCCCTCTACGGATATTTAAGTTCTCCTGCAGTATTTTCGACGGAATTTTGAGATTTACAGGTAAATCTCTTCGGGGTAGAAGGGGAGTGTTACACTTCGTTTTATTCCTAACGAAAATCCTGCATATAGCAAATCTATTTAACATTGTTTACGTACGCAACCTTGTATTATTCTGTTCCTCCGCTCATCAATTCGTGAAATTAGGTAGGTAGAGATACCGTGGCCGTGTTATCGTTGGTCTGTGAACTGGTCCAACACATTTTGTTTTATTTGGCTGAACTATTTAGTTATGATTCTCCGTTCATCAGGTACTGTCAGTACACGATATCTTACCTGGGCGAGGCCTGCCTGACTGTTGATCTCCGTGAATTGTAACATAGGTGATGAATCCTGACCATACTTGAATTGTGAGATCTTTTATAGACAGTCATTCTACAATTTCATTTCCATTTCGATCATTGTTTTGTTTACATCGAAATAATTTTTAATTAACCAATATTTTACTGTCAAAGGTGTCACCTGGCGATGACTGACAAGTGAGTGTTATTTGCGAGCTAATCTTCTTTTGTTTACGTATGAACACTTCTTCTCTATCTTAAGCCGCTGTCAGAAGAGGTTATTGACGGTAGTTCGGTTATATTGTTTTTGTAAAATGGGGTCTAGTTCAGACAATAATTATGATTGAAGGGTTTTGTTCGACTCACAATCCCTTTAGTTCGTTATTCGATTACCATTTGGAATATTCGGTGTGATGTACTTATGGGTTGTGTCCCATCATGTCAGTGGCTCTGGCCGAGGAAGAAGATTCCTTACGTAATTCTGACGCCTTCTTCGACCTTCGACATCGGCGCAGGTCCGAATTCGAGAATATTCTAGATTTTTCTGGAATTAATTGATGCGCATCAGGTTGGCTGTGGCGCAATAATATCCGCTTCTGTGCTGTGCTCGGAAGTGTAGTCTGGCGAAAGTCAGGCCATTTTCCTTTTTTTTTAAAAAATGTGGTGTAAAGCCATTTAGGCTCAAGTGTTGTGTTGGTGGTCGGGATGGCTCCCACCAACAAGGCTGATTGCCATATTAGGATGGCAAGAAAAACATTCTTCCGGCGGGAGGACAGCCCACTGAAACCGGCGAGACGATCCGGATTCATTTTGGGAACTTGGAGTGGACCACCTCGTGGTACAAGTAAGCCTGAGATTCGGTTCTTTGTAAATAAGTTACTTATAGTAGTAATTTTTCCAATAGTGTTGGGATTAGTTGACCAAGGATCTCTATTTTCTGGATACCTTTGTTGGTTCTGGTACCAGACCTCATTTTCGAGGGATTTGTGGCTGAAGAACACGAGGCCGGCGTCACTCATCAACTTCATCAAACCCGCCCATCATCAAAGGTATGAGGTTTTGTCTGATCTTTTCGAGTGCTATACATGTTCTCTTTAGGGTTTTTCGTCCCAGTCCCTGGGTACTACCTCTACCAAGAGGCCATAGAGCTGTAGGGGCTCTAATCTGTGGCTGATCAGATCCACAGCCTTCTGTACCTCGCACCCTGAGGATTTACCCTGTAGCACCCCTGCACTTCTTCACACCTATATGTTCTGCACATCTTCACATCAACGTCTGCACATCTTTACACCTACGTCTGCACATCTTTACACCTACGTTCTTCACCCTGGACATCTGTATCCTGCACCCTGGACATCTGTATGCTGCACCCTGTACACAGCTACCCTGCATATTTAGGACTGTGCACCTGTAGTTCTGCTTCCTGCTGGTGAGTTCGTTCCATTTTTTTTTTGTACTGGATAACTGCCACCAAGTATTACTACCTATAAGCCTAGTAAAAAGTTGATTTAGTCCTGAGGGGTTAATATCATATAAGTTTTGACCTATTCATAGTTTAAATACCATATTTTGTTATCTTTTGTCTGATTTTCACACCTGGAAACCAATGTGCACTGCGGTATTATCACCTATATTTCACACATGAATTTTATATAATTGTAGGCTGTTTTGGAGAGTTGATTTCAACCAGTCATTTTTTATGTACCTTGAGTCAAATTGACTACCATCTACTGAACCAGAGAGTTGATTTTGGTCAGTCTAGATTATGTATGTTAGCCATATAGGTTGTTAAAATCACATACAAGAGTATGATATGCCTTTGCAGAATATTAAAGGTGATATTTTGGTAGAAAAATATAAGTATTTTCTTTACTGTGCCTAACGTACCCACCCCAGTGTCCTGCTGAGCTACCAGTGTCTTATTCCTGCTGTATAGAACAAGGCACTAAAAATACTAAATTTTGTAGCAAAAACTCATGAAATTCAAATCACCTAGTGGATTTCAGGCAGATAAACAGTCACCTCAGGGGAAAATCCCAACTCAGTTCAATAATCCTTACCCCCTGAGTTTTGCAAGTTACAATGGTTACTCCTGAGAAGCTTATGTTGAGCACAGGAAGATCGGCTTTTCTAGAGAGAAGGCATGATTGTGTTTTGTTTGCATTGAAATCTACCAAATTATTGTCCATATTTATGTTGTCAACATTTCCCCCTCATAAATGGACATGTCGAAGAAGATGAACGGAACACCTATTTTTCCACTCACCTTGGTAGAGTCCTCCAGCATCTTGGTGTGCTCCGCGATGAACCTGACGCAGAAGCAGCTCTTGTGCACCGCGGGCGGGCAACGCGAGTGTGAATAGGCGGGGTTGCGCAGCACGGGGCTCTTGACCCCGTTGCCGCCTCCTTCTGCGCCGCCGCCGTCGGGCAGCTCGTCCGCCTCGGGCGCCATTGGCCCGTGAATCTGGCAGCTGCCGCCGAACGGGCCACCGTCAGCCAATCTAAGCGAGAATTTGAATTATTGTCGACCTCTACAAGAATAGTAATTTTCCTCCCAAGTGCGGATAGTGATTCGTTTCCGCACGTGACTGCCGTTGACATGAACGACACGAACGACGCGAAGCGGAGTTCGAGCAAGCAGTCGAGTGCGGGAGAGACACTTTCCGCATGAGTTAGGAACAATATTTTTTCAACAAGCGTAGGAAATTGATTGATTTGTTCAATTAATCATTCATTCATAAAAGGAACAACTAACAAGGGAAATATATTCTCTATGTACTGATTATCAGTAATAGCTATTGTGAACCTACAGTTTGACGCATTATGTATAGGTTCATTGCGGAAGCCAGCAGGCCCATAATGTGTTTGGTCTCTAAGTTTCAGACACCTCTAGGAAATGGTCCAAAAATACTTCTTCATTCGGTATTTCCATTTCTTCATTGTTGAACCATTCAATAAAACGCGTGAATACCTTCTCATACTTTTCTTAGGACTTCGTTTGCAATAACGCATCTGTATCGCATCCCTATAGCTGGAAGTTTTTTATCACATTGTGCAATTCCACTGAATCGAAAATGACAGTAACGCTGTGTCTGCCACTTCGACAATCACAAACTCATTTGAGGTTTGATTGGCATGACAACAATAATCGTTTTCCATCAGATGATTCCGAATCTATAGGGGGATTTTTATAATAACCAATTTCTATTTCTCAATATCTCTCAATTTTTACAATGAATAGTGCAATTTGATGGAATAGTCGGTTTGTCTGCGGTTTCATATGTATTCTGGGGTGCTAATGAATTTGCGTCCAAAGATTGCAAACAAATTTTTGTGGAGCGTCTCGGGATATTTAAAAAAATCAAACCTACCAATTCTGAAATACAACTTATCATTCCTGGAATTGAATGGACATTTTCTGAAATTCATCTCACCGATTCTGAAATTGAGTTTACCATTTCTGAAATGGAACTAACCAATTCTGAAATCGAGATTACTTTTTCCGAAATATAACTTACCGATTTTGAAATTGAAGTTGAAAACTTATAGAAGAAATGTGAGTCATTGCTTTGGTCATCGTGTAACTCGATTCAGTACTTGAGTACACAACAACAAGATTGAATCATGTTTTTCATTCCTGCATCTTGTTATTCTTTAACGAAAAAGAAAAAACAACTTTTTTTTTCATATTCCATCAGAGAGAGGATATAACTATATAGTCAAACAATCGAATCATCTTGGATATTTTTCTTCCTACGATCAGTTGACTGGACTTCGGCTTAAAAATTGTCTACTTCCAAAATGGCAATATGCCCTGCCTTGTCGTCATACATTATGTGAGTACCAAAAAGACATTCTTTTCATTGTTCCACTCGATTCATTTTTTTGCAGGTTCTGCCTTCTGAGCATATTTTCATGTTATGTCTCGTCGAATTGATAACATGTTGGCTTTACTTCAGTAAAATTATCCTATTCTGATGAAAGTCAAAGGGTTTCCTCCTTCGTGTCTTACAGAATTAATTTAAAATCAAATTTTGTCATGATTCACGGACCTCAGATTGCAACTTTCTCGGCACTAACGAATTACAATATTATCAGGAAGAACGAGGGTAGAGTCAGTTTCTCCCAAGAATTATGAAGAAACTGATTTAAATTACTAGCCAGACTTTTTACGAGCTCTAGGGAAATGCGGAGGAAATTATTAAGTCGAATCGCAGTGGCAGTAGGAATAATTGAATTATCAAAATGTAAATGAGTCGATCTTGCGAATTTGCATGGAGCCAAATCAACCAGAATGGAATTTATGTTGAACGAGACGACAACTAGAAGATATGAACATAGCTTGAAATCATTCTTATCAGAAGAAATAAGTAGAAGTTTAAAAAACTGTACAAATATTTCTCATTTTGTGTATTTTCCATTACATTTTCATTATATTTTCAACCACTAGCTTCAATTTTCGAACCACCAATGGATATTGAAAACAAAATATCGTTAGGAATTCACTGAGATCTAGTACGCACAACAAGAATATATTGTAATGATATTTGCCTTAGAGGGGCTTTTGAAACATCAGCAGGAAGGCAGGAGTACAACGATTATCCTGTAACACGCATCCCAGATTGTTCTCCCACCTCCCAATGATACATGCACCAGCATAATTCCGAACACTCAATATATGCCGAATAACGTCACAGAAGATTCTGGAATGTTCTGGAAACGATCGATGGAACAATTAGAAAGAGAGGTATTTTTCTAAGAAGCTTCTATACCTTTTCAACGTCAATTTCGGAATCGGTAACTTATATTTCGAAAAAAGTAATCTCGATTTCGGAATTGGTTACTTCGATTTCAGAAATGGTAAACTCAATTTCAGAATCGGTGAGTTGAATTTCAGATAAAGTCCATTTCAGAAATGGTAAGTTGTATTTCAGCATTATTTGTAGGTTGAATTTCAGAAAATAAATCTTTTTGTTTGTTTGAAATATTTCCAATTGCATGTGTGATTAACAAACCATATTGCAATATTCAACTGTTCAAAAACAATTCAATAACATAATTATAATCTCAATTTAATCCACAGATGTCTTCCATCCGAATCGCAGAAGGATAAAAGCGTTGCACATGATTATAAGAATGCAAACACATTCGAGGTGCTATCATTAACATCGTATGATCTGCACATTCTTCAAGACATCGCAGTCTGAATTCTATCTGGTTGAGCAATCTGTTCGCATCCCCAGCTATGACCCTTTGGCGATGCTCTTGAAAAAGCTCTTCACTTCTGACTTGAAGGCACTCCATATTATGTTCAATCGAATTCAACATAGGGCTGTAAGGTGCCAATCTGCAAAATATAACATTCCTCCATGCATATCTCTTCTATTTTTTAATGTGCAGTTGCATTATCCAGAACTACCACTATGATATCTGCAGGATGTCCATTAAACAATTTTCTCTTTTGCAATTGAGAACATTTCTAAAATATATAAGGATTCATCTTCTGAAATTGACCCTACCAATTCTGAAATTCATCTCACCGATTCTGAAATTATGTTTACCATTTCTGAAATCGAACTAACTAATTCTTCCGAAATATAACTCACCGATTGCGAAATTGAAGTTGAAAAGGTATAGAACAAAAAAAAGGAGACGGAAGATCATTCGAGAACGTTCTCGAACCAAAGCCTACCAAGGGATCTTATATATAAACGGCCGGACAACTGCCATCAGTTAGTCAAGCAGCGAGTGTCAGAGAGACAGTCATATACCGCGTGATATAAATCGTTTTACATAAATAGTAGTTATAAGTTCGATATAAATTATAGTGTTTCTCTAGTTCAAATAAATCAGTTCGAGAATAAATAGTGTAGAGTTCGCTTCTGCACCCGAATAACGTAACAATATATAATATTGCAATAAGTTGATGCAGGATTAACAAGATGATATATGTATACCTATATGAAGAGAATGTTCTTCATAACACGAAAGGGTGTGAGGAAGTAATATCAATTCATTATTCATCATATCAATAATGTCAATAATGATTTGTTTCACTACAAATGCTTTATAATTCAATTAAGAAATTGTTGTGGACCTACTGTACCTACAAATTATTGTTTAATCATCAACCAATTTCTAACAGCGTATGTCTGATTATGACCATAACGGCGAAACTGGTAACAAATTGTTGATTATTTTACCGTTTATGAAGTGTTGTCATTATTACTTACCCTGGAGAAACATCTTCTTTACTCGGAGTCCTACTACTGGGATACCTCCTCTTGGGACTGTTCTCGTCCCTGTGGACAGTCGTGTGGTAAGGATAAAGACAGGTCGACGGCTGTCTTTTCCTTGGTACGAGGTGGGTGGACAAAAATTTGCTGCAACAAAAACGGAACGAGTATGAGTTTGACTCCGTCGTACAGGATCACGCCTCTTATTTAATCTCAAACTCACTAGACAGCACAGAATATTCTATGGATATTCTGACGATTCTCAATTATACCTATTCCAGGATATTCTCATAGAATGTTCTCAGAATGATCATAGAATATTTTCATTCTGCTAAAAATATTCTATGAACATTCAATTCGACATATTTCCAGAAAATTCTTTCTGAATATGCTGAGAAAATTATTTTTGAATGTTATGAGAATATTGAATATTGTATCGAGATATATGATATCGATGTTTCTATTCTTGTATCAATATTCATAATGTTTACTCTCACACAACTCATCATTCCCTAGCCTAATTCTGATTATTTCACTAATTCAGTGAAGTCATCTCGCTATTCATTTTATTTATCATCGCAACCTGAGCAAGTTTTTTTCTACCTTGTCCTTCAATATACTATAGGAATATTCTCAGAATATTTGGAACAATCCATTCTGAATAGTCATAAAACGTCCCTAGAATATTCGTAGCATATTGTGAGAATATTAAATTATTCTCGAAGAATATCCCATGGACTTTTTATGGATGACATTTTGCTATCTGGGTCTTTTGTTTCTACAGATTTGAAGAAATTTTGATGTTCTTCTATTTACAGGGTCATCCGTTATTCCGTAAAAGACATTTTCAGATATTTCCAATGGAAAATTGCATATATTCTTCTACATGTCTATTGAGAATTTTTTACTGATCCAGGAAATATGGATGAGTCGCATAGTCGGATGAAAAATTGTTGAGTTATTGGGGATCAAAGATTACCAGAATACCGCATATCTTTCATTGAAAATGTAACAATTCTCTGAGGTGCACATTCCTAATTGCCACGCAATAAAGTTTGTTTTTGTGATATGGTTATCTGAACGACAGATTAGTTATGCAAATTCATTGATCAATTCTGGCATGATTGAGCTCTTTCATACCCTAATAGCACACAACGTCCTAGGGACGTCCCTATTTGGTACAATTCGAGTCCGAATATCCCGGACCAAAAGTAAGTGTCCTTGGGACGTCCGATACCGTACATCTCATGCAATGTCCGAGCAATGAGGTCCACGGAATGTCCCAGCTGGTACATCATTTCAAATGTCCTAGAAATAGCATCCCTCAGACGTCACACGTGGTACATATTATAGAAAGTCCATGCAAGTACGTCCTTGGCATGTCCCTGATGGAATATGATTTTGAACGTTCCTTTGGGGACATCCATCGGATGTCCCGAGTAGTACAAATTCTGGCATGACTTCTGATCTCATATAATGTCTCTTCTAGACAACCTTGAAATTACCCTGATAGTACATTCCTCTGAATATCTCTGCACAGACGCCCTTAATATTTCCAGGATCGTATAACAATCAAAATGTTCCTCAGGAACATTCTCCAAATGTCCCTTAAGAATATCCTTCGGATGTCCCAAATGGTACATGAACTGTACTAATCCAATGTCCTAGAAATAACGTCCTACGGACGTCCCAGTCGGTTGTCCCTGCGAGGACGTTAACTTACATCTCGCCGACGAATGATTGCTCGTAGGCTATAAATACTCCTCGTCAATGTCCTTCACGTAAGTCTATTTGACATCCTTGGGAAACTTTTTCAGGATCTATTGGGGACCTTCTACGGACCATGAACTCAACTGGATGTCCTCATCAGTTATACAAGATCTGGTTCTAGAGGAACCCAGAGAAATTCAGATTCAAGAATAATTTGTACGTCCCTGAGACATCCTATGGACATCCAATTGATATCCCTCAGCGTTGCTGATAGGTTGTTCTACGGATGTCCAAAGGATGCCCTCCGTAGTGCTTGATGAGGAATACTGTAGGATTTAGGTATTCGATAGTTGTCTCAGGGACCTCCTTCACGGTGGTCCTCAAGTAGGACATCTGTGCGTCCCACAGACGTCCAATGGACGTCCACGGTACCAAATTCGAACGTCCTATTGACGTCCTGAATGTCCCGACAGGACGTCCTAAGGATATCCATGGAACATAATTGTGTTATTAGGGTATGAATCATGTTTCCTCTATTATTATTGAATTTATACAGAGTGGGCCTTTGGAAACGAAACAGAGGCTCTGTAGGTCGCCAAAACCGGATTATGAAAAAAATCTGAAACACGTCAACTACATTTTCGAGGGGGACATCGTACTACAATATTTTCAGCCCTGCGGCGTTGCCGCTTCTAACGAAAAGAAGCAACAACTTTGTTATTTCAAATGGAACACCTTGTATTTTATTGCATTTTTAGGTTCTTCCCGAAGAGCTGATTTCATCAATGCATCACACTTGGGGTCTAGCTGTAATGGTTTCAGGGATATAAAGTGTTCAAAATCGAGATATTTCAACTTTAACATTTTTTTGTGTCGAAACTATTCATCATTGGTCAAAACGGCTCTCATGTCGCTATCTCAACTTGTGATTTACTATCGACTGACATTTATTTGAAACAAATACAGGGTGGTTCAAGATTCAAAATTCTGATCACCCTGTATCTGTTCCAATTGAATGTTAGTAGATAGTGGATCACAAGTTGAGATAGGGACATGGAAGTCGTTTTGACCAATAATGAATAGGTTTGACACAAAAAAATGTTAAAGTTGAAAAATCTCGATTTTGAACACTTTATATCCCTGAAACCATTACAGCTAGACCCCAAGTGTGATGCATTGACGAAATCAGCTCTTGGGGGAGAATCTAAAAATGCATTGAAATACAAGGTGTTCCATTTGAAATAACAAAGTTGTTGCTTCTTTTCGTTAGCAGCGGCAACGCTGCAGGGCTGAAAATATTGTAGTACGATGTCCCCCTCGAAAATGTAGTTGACGTGTTTCAGATTTTTTTCATAATCCGGTTTTGGCGACCTACAGAGCCTCTGTTTCGTTTTCAAAGGCCCACTCTGTATATCTCGCAGTAATAACAAAGATTTTTATGTTGATTAGTCCCTCCACCTATTGAATCACCCTCATTAGTGATGAAAAAAGATCGAGATAACCTGTCTAAACGGTTTGATGATGATATTAATAAGCAATGTATCAATGGTTTCAATATTGAATTTTCCATTGCAACGAAAAAATGCCAAGAGAAAAAAGCAATTCGTTAACTTTCGCATATTTCAGTTCTTCGAATACCAGATATCATGCAATTTTCATAGCCCGTATGACTCACATAATAATTTCGTCTTCATGAGAAATAACCATAATTTTTGGCTCGTTGAATAAACTATTATTGACCATTGAAGACCTTACCTGCTCGTCTCGAAAACATATGTCGGCCTTTTGATCACCAACAGCCTGGGAAGAATGTGGATAAAAACTCTTTTCACCCATGGGGACATTCTGTGAGTTTGAGGAGAGCGAAAGTGTACATTTAGTACGACTACTGTTACACAGATGCTGAAAACAAGAAATTGAAAATTGTTAATCATAAATAGATGAATACAGAAAGCTCAAAGTTATTTCCACAAAATGTGCATAAAATGAATAACAATGGTAGTTTAAACGAATACTGATTCAAGTGATTCTTTCCTGAATGCCTATTGAGTTCTATTCAGCCGGTTTCGAGTTCTTTGACTTTCATCAGTGCAGGGCAGTCTCCAGCCAGCAGTCCTAAGACCGTCGACTAATCGTATGACAGCTAAACAGAAACCTTCATTTTCAATATTGATGTTCATCACATTCACCGCATAATGAACAATTCGTTGTTCTCTCTTTCATCTACCCTCATTTCAGTTCATGGAACAATCACAAGTTAAGCTTTATGGATCACGAGTTACACTTTTCGAATTAAATTTCACTAATATATCAACTAAATGTTGAACTTTCTGAATCACGAATATAACTATTCTGAATAACACTCTCAGAATCATGTTTTCCTAATCTGAATTAAAAGTTACACTCTTCGAATTATTACAATTAAAACAAGTTAAGTGGATGGTTTGAGACAAGAGTAATTTGATTCCGTATACATTTTGTGTTTGTGATATAACGCAGATATCTGCTGGCATATAGAAGCTCTGGGACATCAGGTATCCCATAGAATATCATTTCCATATCGTCGGCTTCTACTCCCCAAAGAAATGTGAAACTTGATATGAATATATTCAAAACGAATGAGAAGTAATGCACTATTCAATATGAAGAGGAATGCACTATGCAATATCAGACTACTTCTTATGGTTTCCGAACTGACTTTCATTGACCTAAATGCAGTGATATAGTTCCAGTTGCAACTCCTACTTGATAGTTTTCCATGATGATGGTATCTGTCATAATGCATCTAGTATTGCTTATGGTTGATATTGCATCGGATGTAAAACAAAAGAGTTGATGAAACTCAGATCTGACAGATAGGCAGCCATCTCAATATCGGATATGTTTTTCTCACAAGCAAGATTCTTATCATTGAGATATCGCCATATATACAGGATGTCCCACAATGATTGAGACAGGAATATCTCGGAACTGAAAAGTTGTAGACAATAATTAGAATTAGTGGGTTCTGAATTCAAGAAATCGGTTCAGCTTTTCCTGATTTCATTTCCTCCAAACATCTTCCTGTTTCTGATCATTTGACATCAGATTCAGAAATTTGAATATGGTTGGAAATGATTATTTCAAGAGCTACAGGTACTTCAATATCCTTCGTCCCAAGAAGATTACGACAGATTGGGCAGTCCGATATTCTTTGTGATGATTCGAACGATGATTATCTATAATTCAATTAATGCTGTAGTCAACCATTTTCGCAACAGAGGATATCGAAGTATCGGTGGTTCTCAAATTAATCGTGTCAGACCACCAGTGTGATAGTTTGTTAGAATCTTTTGAAAGGAACGAACCTAGAAATGCCATCTACAAGTTGTCTACTTTTGGATTTTCAATATGATTTTGGCAGAAAACAAGAAGCTCTATGGATGAAAAATTATCAGAAGGAGATGAACCGATTGCATCAATCTACACCCCATAAGAACAATCGTCTACTACTCTCTAATTCCAAGATATTTCCTCTTCTCATTATCGTGGGACACTTGGTATACTGCATGAAGTTCAATTGAATCATCACTCTCAATTTTCATTTCATTTTCAATGATGTGAAGTTTCGTTACTATTCACTTAGACCCTCACATTTCTTACAGCTCCAATCAGCTATACAATAACAAGCATATTGGCATTGAAAATTCTTGAATGACGCTCTTTCAATAATTGGAAACAGTCCTGCTACGTTCCGGAATATATCATGTGATAACAAATATATGAAGGACTGAATTTGACTCACCTTATTGAAACTAGAATCATGGCAAATATCAAATATTTTCCCAGGAGTGGCACTACCAGAGACGTTGGCGGTATTATCTCGACTACCAGTAGAAAGAACACGTGAAGGCTGATGAGAATAGATATGGAGAGTGTAACCTGAAAAATATCAATCATATACAGGGTATCAACAACTGCTTACTTGATACCAGAGAGGTTGGAATGGTGGTGATCAGGGTAACAGCATCGGTCAAATGGAAACGAAATTGTCAAATAAGGTCATCAATATGCCTTCTTCTTTCCTTGAATTCCTCCTGAGGTACAAGATATTCACGGAGGACGATAGGAATTTTGTCACTTCAATCAATCAGGGTACACGAAATTGAAAACGAAACAGTCCCATCATCAGTTTTCAAAGTTTGCTAGGATTGATACATGACTTGAGGTAAAGATGAAAAGAATGTAAAAAATATATCATAACATAGGAAATGTTGAAAAAACATTCGAATTGCAAATGTTCTAGTTATGGCATAGAATTCAATGAATGAAAATTTTCAAAATATCCTCAAGTGAGTTTTGATTTGAAATTGGTCTTGATGACGTTTTTCAGTATTAGTTCCTTTAAATAATTGCGACTGACAAGTAGATGTTAATCGTGGTAAGGATGATAATGAATGAATATTGAGGGAACTGTTTCAAGCACACCAGGCAGGAATCATTGGACATCGCCCTCATGGAAAATTAACCGTAGGCACGTGTTTCGGGCTTTCGGCCCTCATCAGTACGATATAAAAAGTTCAAAAGATAGTCAACACTTGGTGAAAGACGAAATAATAACAAATCGATGAAGTCAACAAGCAGAAGTCAGCCACACGTTTGTGGTTCCAGTCAGCAGACTCAGGCATTTTCAGCGGTTACCTTAATCTTTATGAGGGCCATGTCCAAAAATCTTTCTCTAGTTCGCTTCAAACAGTTTCCACAATGATACTTTCATTCAAAATTCTTCTGCTGAACTCGGATGTGCAAGGTAAGCTGACCAAAACCACAGGAGAGCAGAAATCTGATATTTCTTCCGTGTATAATATAATTTTCTGTGACAGAAGGAACGATGATTCAATATTCAAGAGAAGAGATCACTTCATAATGAAATCGAAAGTTTCTCGATGAGAAATTTGAAATTTTTAACTGGTTTAGTAGTACACCTGTTTTGCAGGAATCTTATCACTGGCATTTCTATTGCTGCTATAAAAACCCAATTATGTATTTTGATTCGAAAAAATTCGGAACTCACCAGTTGTTCAGTAAATGACGTAACCATGGAGTGTGATGGAAGATGAAAACGACTTTCGAGTTTTTTTTTCTGAGACGGTGGTTTTGACTAATTTTTTGGATCTGGTACAACAAAACCGATCAACAGTGGACCTATATATCTGGGAAAATAGTACTCACTTTCCTCCCGTGGAAATAAAGTAATTTGTAAAAATGGCATTTTGTAATCTGTCAACAGAGGTGAAATGTCAAACTTTTTCCCGTCACAGAAAAATATCTATTTGTATACCAAGGAAGAAAAAAGTGCTACTTTTCCTCCCAAAGATAAAGTTTACTGCCCGACGCCTATAGCGGAGGTCAGTTATCATTCGAGAGGAAAGAGCTCTTTACTCCTATGTTCATATGATTTTTTCGCCCGAATGAGGAGTAATGTTCAAATAATCTATCCACGAAACTCACATGATTAATTGAAGAACTAAAACTAAGGCAAGATTCATTATAACTCGAAGGCATGCACAGAATTCCGAATCTTGAACCACCTTGTATTTGTTCCAATTAATTGTCAGTAGATATAGTGAATCAAAATTTGATATAGGAACATGTGAGTCGTGTTGACCAATAATGTAGAAATTCAGCACAAGAAAATCATAAATTTGGAAAATCTGGATTTTGAACACCTCCTTTATCTCTGAAGTCAATTCTGCTAAACCTCAAATGTGATAATATTGATGGATGAAATCAGCACTCCAGAAAGAATCTGAAAATGCAATGATATTTTCCCTAAAATAGCAACTTCTGTTTATTTTTTGTTTTTGGCACACCCCGTACAACGTCAATATAATCTCGAAATGAAGCACTGATACGTATCAATTCATTGAACAAAATGTGAAAAAATCAAATGCACCAGCCACAATGCTAAGGGTCGATTAACGTGAATAATCCTGTATAATAGAAAATAGAATATAGTTTAGTTTGAAGTAGATCATTTATTTCATTGTACCAGTATTTCATCTGATGGAACATGTTGTGTGAATAGGAATCTTGTGGAAATATCATCGTTTCTGAAGTTTTTACATTCACTGTATAAAAATGTTGAAGATAGTCGTTAAATACGTTTTATTTCGTATTTCTTATGAGCGCGTTCGGTATTAGTGTCACGTGCCGAAGCTAGCAAGAAAAAGGACCCCTATAAAGTTAGCAGAGCCACTTGCTGAAAAATTCATAAAACCTGTTCCAATGATTGTCGGATAATTGTCGAGAATTTGTCGTGAAAGAAAAAAAATTGTCGCGCTTATAGTTTTTTTTATACGGGGTGGCTGTGCTAACTTAATATTAAGTTAGCAGTGCCACTGGAAAATAAACATCCAATGGAATCACAGTTGTTATAGATAATTGTCGAGTAATCGTCGAAGTGCATCTGACGGGAAAAAAATGCAAAAAAACCCTTTTTTATAGCATGTATATACATTTTTCTAAAATTTCCTGGTTTCTGCAGAAATTTCGCAGTTTTGGCAACAGCGCATTGATGAAATGATCTCTTATGCTCTTTTCGTAACGTTAATGTCAAAAATGACGTTGTTTTTGAAACATTTCATTTTCCAATAAACAAAAAAAAACTACGTTCAAAGGCTGAATGATAGAAATATTCCATTTTCACCGTGATACGTCCACCTAACTTTGTTCATTTATTTATTTTCCGATCAGAAATTCTATGAATGATTGTCGGAAGACTGAAACGTATTTGTCGTGCATGGAATGTTTGAATTTCTAGAAGCTGAAACCAGGAAATCCCAGAAAAATGTATATGTATGCTATGAAAAAGGGTTTTTTTGCATTTTTTTCACGTCAGATGCACTTCGACAATCACTCGACAATTATCTATTACAACTGTGATTGTATTCGACCTTTTTTTTTTCAGTGGTACTGCTAATTTAATATTGAGTTAGCACAGCCACCCCTTTGAAAAAAACTAGGAGCGCCATGTTTTTTTTTATTCACGACAAATATATTTATTTCATTCGACAATAAAATTGTTCAATTCGTTTCTGGATGAAGATAAAATAAATCATCCTACGTACTATATGGTGTATCAATGAGAAATTGGAATATTGATTTTATTCGCTCCTGAAGAAACAGAGGTTTCGCGACAATTTTGTTTTGAAGAAATGTATCATAAAACTTCATATTCGACATTAATGTTACGAAAAGAGCATAAGAGATCATTCAATTAATGCGCTGTTGCCAAAAATGCGAAATTCTGCAGAAACCAGGAAATCCTAGAAAAATGTATATATATGCTATACAAAGGGTTTTTTTGCATTTTTTTCACGTCAGATGCACTTCGACAATCACCCGACAATTATCTATTACAACTGTGGTTTCATTCGACCTTTTTTTTTCAGTGGCACTGCCAACTTAATATTAAGTTAGCACAGCCACCCCTTTGAAAAAAAACTAAGAGAGCCATGTTTTTTTTCTGTTCACGACAAATATATTTCAGTCATCCGACAATTGTTCAATTCGTTTCTGGATGAAAAAAAAATCATCCAAAGTACTATGGTGTATCACTGAGAACTCGACTGAGAAATTGGAATATTAATTTTATTCGCTCCTGAAGAAACAGATGTTTCACGATAAATTTGTTTTGAACACTGGACAATAATTTGATGGACCTCCGAGCGAACAAATAATAATGAATTAACATAAAATGCGCAGGTACAGCTGAGACAATATAAATAATGGAATTTTACCAATCACACGCTGTTTTTCAGCTTCTAGAAATTCAAATACTCCACGACAAATACGTTTCAGTCTTTCGACAATTGTTCAATGGATTACTGATCGAGGAAAAAATAAATCAACAAAGTTAGGTGGATGTATCACGGTGAAAATGGATTATTTCTATCATTCAGCCTTTAAGCGTAGTTTTTTTTTGCTTATGGAAAATGAAATGTTTCATAAACAACGTCATATTTGACATCATTGTCACGAAAAGAGCATAAAAGATCATTAAATTGATGCGCTGTTGCCAAAAATGCGGAATTTCTGCAAAAACCAGGAAATCCTAGAAAAATGTATATGTATGCTATACAAAGGGATTTTTGCATTTTTTTCACGTCAGATGCACTTCGACAATCACCCGACAATTATCTATTACAACTGTGGTTTCATTCGACCTTTTTTTTTTCAGTGGCACTGCCAACTTGATATTAACCATGTAATAAGGCCGTCTCGGCCTGTTTGGTTAAAATCGAATAAATAAATAAATAAATTAAGTTAGCACAGCCACTCCTTTGAAAAAAAACTAAGAGCACCATGTTTTTTTTAGTTCACGACAAATATATTCATTTCATTCGACAATTGTTCAATTCGTTTCTGGATGAAGATAAAATAAATCATCCAAAGTACTATATGGTGTATCACTGAGAAATTGGAATATTAATTTTATTCGCTCCTGAAGAAACAGAGGTTCCACGACAAATTTGTTTTGAACACTGGACAATAATTTGATGGACCTCCGAACGAAAAAATAATAATGAATTAACATAAAATGCGCAGATACTGCTGGGAGAATATAAATAATGGAATTTTACCAAGCACACGCAGTTTTTCAGCTTCTACAAATTCAAGCACTCCACGACAAATACGTTTCAGTCTTTCGAAAACTGTTCAATGGATTTTTGATCGATGAAAAAATAAATAAACAAAGTTTGGTGAACGTATCACGGTGAAAATGGAATATTTCTATCATTCAGCCTTTGAACGTAGTTTTTTTGCCTATGGAAAATTGAATGTTTCATAAACAACGTCATAAAGGGCATAAGAGATCATTTGATCAATGCGCTGTTGCCAAAAATGCGAAATTTCTGCAGAAACCAGGAAATCCTAGA